CAATTACAATACCAATCAATACAAATTTAAAGCAAGACAAATTTTGATACTCACGTTTATGGTCTGCCCGTTTCATCTACCTTCCTGTGAGGCACTGGTGTCAGCACTTTGTGAGGACCAATTTGATCAACCAAGTGAAAGTTTCATACTCTTTAGGACCTTTGCTCCCATTCTAAAAATCAAGGACCCAGGGCCAAAGCTCTGCCCGACTTGCACAAAGCTCTGGCATGGCTTTTCGCTACAGCGAAGTGTCAGCAAAAGGGAAAATTACAGCAAAATCACCTAAGTTAGTACCAAAGATGCTCAGATTAACCTGGCACCCACTGGCATATAATTTGCTTTGTCAGTGCCACACACCATCGGACCACAAAGCACTACAGAAATATATTACTACAACTTTCACAGTGGTTGTTTCGCTTGAAATTTTTTATGCATTTGTTTTAGGTTGCAGCCCACACCATGAAGAAATATGCAGACAGCCACCTTTCCAGTGGTTTACATTAACAAAGGAAACTGTTTGTGGTTGCAGCCATGCACCCTGACAGGACAGACCTCCCGGCCAAAGGAGGTCTGGCTGCCTGGGACAGCTCTGCAACCACTTTGCTGCTGGTTTTCCTCCTCTCTTTGCCTTCCTCTGCCCCAAAGATGCCACTCTCACTCACCCCCTCCTGACCCTGCTGCTACCACACAAACCCCATAGGACTATCCAGCTAATACTTTATTCTGACACCACATCCATCCTCTTTCAACGTGTACTACGGACACCCAACCCTTCAGGACTTGATTGTACCAGCTGTCATGCACTGTCATATTTATAGGTGTGAGGTGATGGCACCACTGATAGCAAATATGCTTCGCAACTGTCCAAAGGAGAATGACCATAAACCAAAACCAAATAAATACACAAAGTCCAGAGCATCATCCCTCACAAAGTGCACATATAGGCTATATATAACTAAGAGCTGTAATGTGATAAAGACAAGCCCTGGGGCAGCAAAGCCATCATCTTAACATTAAAAACAGTGAAAATGTGTGTGGTCTGAACACCAGACAGGAAGGGTTAACAAAGAAAAATATCTAAGTCACTTAAACAAACAATTTACTTCTGATAAGGTGGTAATTTTTGGAAGCAAAAATGAGTGGTAGAAGTGTTGAAACTGAAAAGTTAAAAAATTCTTTTATTTCTTTTTCATTTTTTACGTCAAAAACCAGAGAAAAAGCATTGGTTACAAAACTGATTTCATTTGCATATGTATATATACATTTCTAACACCAGCACTATATAGCTTTGAACCTGCTAATCACTCCTTAGTTCAAGCAAATTCTGAGGCTGACCCATGGCCACCAGCATAATCAGAAAGAGATAAAATGCAGATTTGAATACAGTACTAAATCACTTAGAGCAGTTTCCCACCACAGCTCACAAAGGTTTTCTCTGGTCAGAGTCTGACCTCAAGCTGAGAAGGCAAACTCTTTGACTACTACTTAGGAAAAGAAAAAAAAGGTGGAGCAATGTTAATTCATTTCCTCCCCAGTTACAAAGAATTTGACTTTGTCACTGTCCTAGTTCGTTCCTGGTTACAAGCTGGTCTCCAGGAAGGCCTAGACTGAAACCATCACAGTGACTTTGCTCCTGAAGTTGTCATAACTTTTTAAGAACCTAATCAGGCTCATAACCACTTGCAATTACAATATGCAGATCACTCTCACATTGCTATTAACTTTCCCTTCACACAATGAACTATAGAATAACTTGGGCTGGAAGGGGCCACACTGATGCCAACCTTCTGCTAAAGCACAGCCTCAGTGTTGGGTCAGGTCGCCTAAGCCTTTCCAGCCAATGGAGTGGCCTCCGGGGCTGGAAACTGCACAGCCTCTCTCCTGTGGAGCATGTTCCTCACATCCACAGGGAACTTTTCCTGCTGCAATACGTGACTGCTGCCTCTCACCCTCTCCATACAAGCTTGAGATAAACCACTGTTTATTCAGCTGCTTGATTTTGGAGGCTCTGCCCTCTGGTCTCTGACAGCCCAGGCGTGACTGGCATGTACAGCGCTTGGCTGTCCCATGGGTATCTCTATGGCAACACAGATAACAAGGAAGGCACACACAACTTCTGGAAACCTACAAGTTATTTGCAAAGCAAAAACCTCATTCTCTTTTCTCATTTAATTTCAGGAGGGTGTCGGTGTGTACAGGGGACTGCTCCCTGCCAACACACCTTTCCAGCCCTGCGGAGCTCAGCTGGCATGGAGATGGTGCCAGGAACAGCAGCAGAGTGCCAGAGAGCAGGAGCCCCAGCCAGCAGCAAGGGGACCACAAGGCACCTGGGGCACCTGCTCAGGCATGCATGGGGAATCACAGGATTATAGAATCATCAAGGTTGGATGAGACCTTTAAGATTCTCCAGTCCAACTGTCCACCCAGTGCTACCACTGTAACCCATAAACCACATCGCCCAGTGCCAGATGCAGACTCCTCTTGAACACCTCCAGGGGTGACTCCACCACCTTCCTGGGAAACCGATTCCAGTGCCCGACCACCCTAACGGGGAAATATTTTTTTCTAGTATCTAATCTGAATCTCCTCTGTCTCAGCTTTTGTCCTCTTCACTGCAGGTGTGGCAGAAAAGATGGGTCCTGCCTCACTGCAACCTCCTCTCAGGTGGTCGTAGAGAGCAATGAGGTCACCCCTGCACCCCCTCTTCTCAAGACTAAACCGACCCAGCTCCCTCAGCTGTTCCTCATAATACAAGTTTTCTAGATCTTTCACGAGCCTTGTTGCCCTTCGGTGGACCCACTCCAACACCTCAAACTCCTCTTTAAAGTGATGGGCCCAAAACTGAACGTAGTACTTGAGGTACAGACTCACTAATGCTGAGTACAGGGGGATGATCACTTCTCTAGTACTGCTGGGTACATTATTATTGATACAGATACAGGGAAGAGCCTGGGAGAAGGCTGTGGGGTGGGAGCAGCTGTCTTGCACCTGATCAGCCTCACGCAACCCTTTCCTGGAGCAGCCCAGTGGTGAGGCAAGGTAAGGCAGGGCCGAGGAGCCAGGTGAGGGAAGGTGGTGAGGTGTGGTGAGGTCGTGTGGAACTACACACAGAGCAAGGCAGGGCCGAGGCAGCAGCTCCAGCCTCCTCCCCACCTCCTGGGCTGCTGCAGGCAGAGCCCTAGGCTAGGAGGAGACAGGCTCTGCCTATTCCATAAGGCTTCTAGAGAACAGTATACATTAACTCAGCCCTGCAGAGAGACCTTGATACATTACAGAGCTGGGCAATCATAAACCGTACGGAGTTAAAAAAGGGAAAGTGTCAAATTCTGCACCCGGGATGGGACAACCTGGGTGCCTGGGGACAAACTGCGGAATGAGATGCTGGAAAGCAGTGCCAGGAAAGGGACGTGGGAGTCCCCATCAATGGCAAGTTGGACATGAGTCGGCAGCGCCCTGGCAGCCAGGAGGGCCAATCATGTCCGGGGGGGCATCAGGCACAGCATTGCCAGCTGGTTGAGGAAGGCTCTGCTCTGCACTGGCATGGCCTCACCTTGGATATTGTGTGCAGTTTTGGGTGCCACAATACAAGAAAGATATTAAGCTTAGAGTGTCCAAAGAAGGGCAATGAAAATGGTGAAGAGTTTTGAGGGGAAGCCATATGAGGAGCAGCTGAGTGCACTTGGTCAGTTCAGCCTGGAGGAGGCTGAGAGGAGACCTCACAGCAGTTACAACTTCCTCATGAGGGGAAGAGGAGGGGCAGGCACTGATCTCCTCTCTGTCACAGAACCCTAAAGTTGTGTCACATGGCCTAAAGTTGTGTCAGAGGAGGTTGAGGTTGGATATTAGAAAAAGGTTTTTCTCCCATAGGGTGGTTGGGCACTGAACAGGCTCCCCAGGGCAGTGGGCACAGCGCCAAGGCTGACAGAGCTCAAGGAGCGTTTGGATACTCTGAGGCACATGGTGTGACTCGTGGGAATGGTCCTGTGCAGGCCCAGGAGTTGGACTCGATGGTCCTTGCGGGTCCCTTCCAACTCAGGATATTCTGTGAAATCATGGAGCCCCTGGTTACACGGCGCCAGCGTTTCTCGCCAGGGGGGCCCGGTAGGTGAAGGCGCTGCCACGCTCATCATGGCGGCAGAGCCCGGGCCACCCACCCGACATGGCAGCCGGGGCGGGACGCGCTGCCCCGATGCCGCGGCGCTGCCCGACCGACCCCCCGGCCCCCGTGGGGAGCGGCCCCAGGAGTCGCGGCCGCGGCCGCCCGGCGCGATGCGGTGACCGAGTGCCTCCCCCGCCGTCCATAGGAAGATGTCGCCCGGCCGCCCCGGAAGCGCTCGGGGAGGCGCCAACATGGCGTGGCGGTGCTGGGCCCGCGCCGGGGCCCCGCGGCCGCACAGGTACGGCCGGGGCGGGGAGGGAGGGAGGCAGGCAAGCAAGGCGAGGGAAGGAGCGGCTGGGGCGGGCGGTGCTGACAGTCCGCGTGTTTCCCCTGCAGGCTCGCTGTGCTGCTGCTGCAGCCGCGGCGGGGTTTCCGCCGGGCGCGGCCGCGGCCCGAGGAGCCCCCGGCGGCCGCGGCCGAGGCGCCGCCCGCCCC